ATCAATTTAAAAAAACACTTTTTGAATTTTTGAAAAACATCTTCAAATGTTCTTTTAGAGTAATAAAGTCAAATCCGATTAACAGTACCATGATATGTTCCTACCACATCTAACTTACATAAAACTTAGCAAGTAAGGAATGTAAGTTTACAAAATTCGGAATAAGTAACACATCAATTTAAAAAAACACTTTTCAAATTTAAAAAAAAAATTTCAAAAAAATTTAAGTTTACTTAATTTTTTTTATTGTAATCAATAAGTGTCCTTCTTGAATGTTAAAGTCTATCTGAAATATTGTATATTGATGTATTATAATGGGTTTTTTTTCATGTCTTAGGAGAGGCAGAGGTTGACCTATCAAAACCTAACAATTAAAATTTCGGCCTCGCGGTGCGTCACTGTCTCTTCTCCCACCTTGGAGGACGGACCATTTTTCAGTTTCTTTTTATTTATTTTATCAAGTATTTGGTGAGTAAAATTATTTTATCATGTTTTCAAGAAGCAAAACATCGGTTGTCATTCTTGGTCACTCATTTGTGCATCGTTTACACCAATTCTTGAAACATGGTGATGACATTAGATGTTCTGAAACTCCTGGTCTTGGAAAAGCGCATTCCGTTTTGTACAGGGGAGTGGGTGGAAGAAAGGTTCACGATATACTCAGTAATATCTACGGATATGGAGAGTCTATCTGCTTTAGGTCCGAAGTAGTTGTTTTAAGAAGGCTGGGGAGTTGTGGCCATTTTCAGACTATATTGATTTCCTTTAGAAGAAGAGCTCTATATAAAGATATACAAAAATGATCAAATTTTAAAACTAAAATTTATGAAATTTTTCTTTGCCAAATGAAAGTTGACAGCTTAAGATATCATACCTAAAAAATTAAGTTATATCTGATGGTTAATTTGTTCACCCCCCAGCCTCCTTAATGATTTGGGAGATAGACATTGTTTCTAGTACAGAACCTGTGTTGTCAGCCGCAGAAATTGAAACTGTGGTATCGGTGATGTATGGCCGTTATATATAATGTACGTTTATAACGTACGTGGTGCTTTTTTTATGTGATACGTACGTGAAGTCACATACACATACGTTTAACGTACGTGATACATATGTGGCACATTTTGCTGTGTATCAGATGTTAGCTTGCCAATCATTGTTTTTTTTTTTTTTTCATTTTATTTTCAACCTTTACGCGTGCAATTCGTTGATTTATCTAGGAATGTATTGGTATTAATCGTTGGTAAAGTGACCGTCGCTTCCTTGTCAAAAACTATTAAGTTCTTGTCGCAAAACAAGACCTTCAATGGACATTCGTTTACCAATAACCATAGGAGTTCTACATAAAATTTGTGATGCATTAGAACATAAAGTATCAAACATATATAAAAGCATTATTTACAGCAGTGTTTTTATTGGCTTTCCATGGATTCCTCAGAATAGGAGAAATAACACCAGTCTGCACTGCTAATCATGTCTTACAAATGTCACAGGCTGCTTTTCAGAAAAGTAAAGTTTTGATTCACTTTCAAAATTATAAACATTCTGATGGTAAATTAATTTTTCTCTTACAATCAATCCCTGCAACTTTTTAAAATATTGTCCAGCGGGGCATTAGATCACTGCTTGAAAATGAGAGGGTAGGGTGATTAGCCCCTATTTTGCAAACCCCTCCCACCCAACACAGCAGTCACAAGGCAAGAATTTTCATACGTATTAAAGCAAAGTCTCATGTTTTGTAATTCGGATGTCAAAAGATTCAAAGGACATTCCTTTCCAATTGGAATGGGCTCTTACCAACTGCTTATTGTGAATCAACGGGGATGTGATATTCAGATTAGATTTCTGGGTAAATGGAAATCGGATGCATTTAAATCTTACATAAGACATGTGGCACTATATTGATACATGTATATGCTTGGGTAGAAACAGAGCCTCGAGGCATATCTTGTTTTGTTTGGGTCTTGACTTCGAAGTTATTTTCAGGACTATTAACTGTCTATCCCTCACCCGGAGAACAATATTGCTTAAGTCAATCATTAATACTTAAAGCTGATAGATTAAAAGACTATATACATGTGAACTTGGTAAAATGACAGTGAGGAATGTGATGCTTTGTGAATATTGGGGCATAGGTATATCCCTTATCAAGCACATCAGTTTCTGAGGCATTTGTTAATACTCAAAACGGCATACGAGCCACATCCACTAATGACAGTAATCTGATGATTTTGTTGTTATGGGGACCTATGTTTATCCCTCATAGAGCATGGGTAAATTGGGGGTGCGTCGATTTACCCAAATGGACACAAAATGACCCAAATGGAACCCAACTAGAAACCAGAATGGACCCAAATCGAAATCAAATGGAACTCAAATTGAAATGAAATGAAGTTTTGAATATATATATTATCGTGTTTTAAAATGCTACTTATATAAAACATTTTTTTAAAAAAAAATGAACTAACAAGTGGAAATAGTTATGTAGTTCATTTTAATATTACATTTTTTAACATGATTTTTTTTCTACTTGTAATAAATAGTGCATACAATTAATTGCAAAAATAGTGTTTTCCATTTTAGTACTATAGAAATAATACATGTATGTTTATTACTTTTAAATGTAATGACTAGTTTTTAATGTATATGAAATACTTTAATTTTGTATTCAATGATATGCAAAATATATTACAAATAAAATAAAAAATTAATTCTTATTTTATAATACAATATTAGTAATGAATAATTAATATTCTCCATTTGTATGTTCATTATTTTCATCATTTAAAATAAGAAACAAGTTGATAAAACGATAATATATATTTAATATTCCATTTGGTCTCCATTGGGGTCCATTTGATTTCCATTGTGGTCCATTTGGATTTTCATTTGGGTCCATTTGGGCTCCATTTGGGTAAATCGACGTACCGGTAAATTGAATTTTCTATCATAATTGAATTGTAATAGATTAATATATAGATACATGTATCTTGTCCGATATGTCTTATGAACAGATGGTGTTTTGTTGCATTATGGGATAAGTTTATTCCAATATTGCAATGGCATATTATGTAAATTTTACTTCTGGTATGATTATTGTTTGAGTTATGGGATAAGTTTATTCCAATATTGCAATGGCATATTATGTAAATTTTACTTCTGGTATGATTATTGTTTGAGGTGTGTTGCCATTATTTTTTCATCATGGGTCTGAACTTTCCCTAGTGCGGTCAAGTTATTGGCGTTTTCAGACCCATTTTCATGATTTTTCTGTTACATGTAAGTCTAAGTTGTAATTACTTGAAATTTGGATAAACTCCCTTTACAATATTGGTTTATTTCTCATCTTTATATTTTGTGTCTGCTAAAATTATATGTCATTGTTAATAATACTTTTGAAAATTTCAAACAAATTATTATCACATCCAATTCCATTTGAATTGGAGGCTTTCATCGAAGAAGGTGTTCATTTCCCATATAATAGAATATATAGATCCGCCCATAAAGTTTTATTAACAATTAGAGTAATTCCCCCTGAGTCAACTTACGTTAATCCCCTTTTCATTCGGTGATCCTTGATTTTATCTCTGCCAATTTTGCTAACGTCTGTTGTGGCCATCTTGTATTTAGTCGACCACTTGATTTAGTTATCACTTAAACAGTTTATATCTTGTAAGTACATGTATGTGATATTGTAATGACATTTTACCTCGATCGTCACGATTTAACAGATTGCAAAGTAGATATTTACACATATTAATTTATCTTAGTTTTAAATAACTGATCCGTCACGTTTTACATCAAGGGGAGGTAACCATTAAAAAAAATTAATTGTGGGTAAGTTATCTCTCATTTAACAAAAAAATAGATATGTAAAAATGAACGACCAATTAATTAAAGTTGTTTTTATATAGAGATAAATAAATATATCTAAAAAATTGTAAGTTAATTAAGTTTTTCTTTTCTTTTTCTTGTCCTAAATGAACACAATGCCACCGAGATCGAAGAAGCGAAGAATGGCCCAGCCATTAATGACTGTCTCAGGGCCGCCCAGAAGTACCTCTAGTAGTCAGGCACCAGTGACTTTCCAGACGCACTCGTCAGTTTCCACAAGATGTCCAGAACCAATGCCTCCAACTCAGGCTCTATCAACTTTTGTTGTAGAGCAGGCTCAGCCAGTATTGACAGCAAGTGCAGGGCAATCCATTGCACCAACCACGCAAGGAACATTAATTTCGACTTCCTCAGATGTTGGCACCACTCCTGTTCATGTCCCATCAATCCATATGATTGGTACGCATGTTACTAATGCAATTAAGCAACGCATTATTGGTGGGCAGTTAATTGATTTGGCCACGTTAGTTACACCAAACTCTGGGTCTGATGAAATGAAATTAGTTATCAATAGTATGGGTAAATAATTTCTAAAGATGTTAACTCAAAAAAGGTAGAAACTATTGAACAATGGACTGATCTTATGCTCATATTTGCAAATGTGTACTTGAGTGCACATCCCGCAAGACTCTAGATCTGCTTATGTACATACAGACCGTTAGAATGGGTGTAAGCAGGGGGCTATATCTTGGAAGGAATACGATACTCAGTTTAGGCTGCGTAAAGAGCGAAATCCTGCTTCTTCCTGGAGTGAAGTTGACTCAGAATTACGGTTGATGTAAATGTAAATTTCAATTTCATGGGTTCTCGTGACAAATCCCCATGCATGTATAAGCATAACTGTATTCATTTTGGTAGTAACCATCCAATGATTCATTGCATCACACCAGTCCCAAGCACTGTGTCCGCTCAAACATTTCGCCCACAAAATTCATACGGTCAATTCTATGGACAGTCAAGGTCTCGTCCACAAACTACCAATGCAAATGTCAACTACAATGGGTATTCCAACAGCAGTACCCTGCTCCCAACCTCCTCAAGACCAAGATTACGCAGCCCCCAATCTATGGCGTCTAAACGTCACAAAGGTGGCAAAACACGACAAACTGTTTTACAGACTTTTTATTCATTGAAGGAGGATAAGATAAGGTGTTCTAGTGATAAGAGGATTATGGAAAGAAAAAAAAGCAATTTAATGGATACTGAGCTATCAAAATGCTTATTGCATTAATATAATTGTCCTTTTAAAGTAATAAAGACTAATCCGATTAAGAGTACCATGACACCTACCACATCTAATTAAAACTTAACAAGTAAGCAATGTAAAACTACAAAATTAGGAATAAGTAACACATCAATTTCAAACTATACATTTTAAATTTCGGAAAAAAAATCTTCAAATTTTCTTTTAGAGTAATAAAGTCAAATCCCATTAAGAGTACCATGACAGCTTCTACATCTAAGTAAATTTTAGCGTGTAAGCTATGTAAGTTTACAAAATTCGGAATAATTAACACATCAATTTCAAAAAACACTTTTTAAATTTTTGAAAAACATCTTCAAATGTTCTCTAAGAGTAATGAAATCAAATCCGATTAAGAGAACCATGATACCAGTGATGAGAAGAACGCCAAAGGAGCCTATATACTGGACAGAGGGACGGCGGTCCATCACACTGATCTTCTTTCGGATGCTGGCTGAAAGGTGGGCTCTGTTTACCGTTAACTCTTCCTTCATTTCATCGATGATTTGTGCCAGTTCGCTACTTGTGTAATTTTTCACTTCATTTACTCTATCACATGGACACTTACAATACGCTGAAAAATATATGTATCAGCAACATTCTACATAACGATCACACATACAAAATACACACACACACCCTCTCTCACACTCGCTCATCTTAAAATAGAAAGCCAATCTTTACTTCAATATGATCTTTTTAATACCTACCATGTTTACAATCTTGAAAATTAACAGCCCCAATATGCCTGGTTGTGTAGTTTTCAGGACAATGATAGCAACTGATGTGACTTCCGCTAACGTTTTTGTAAGTACCCAACCTACATGGATCGCAATCCATGGTTGTATCATTATATTCTTTACCGATTGGACAGGTTTCTAAAGAAATTGAAAGAAGTAAAACTTACAATTTGCTCATATTTAGAAAAAGTTATATGTGACTGACCACGGTTTTTTTTTCATTGTTGTTTTAAACTCTTCTATTTCATTCCAATTAACATGAAACATGTCTTGTTCAACCGGTATGTTTTTCGTATCATGCTTTTACCATCTAAACAATAATACAGGATCTTTTTCTTATTTTAATTCACCATTCTCCATTTAATGGAGGCTAGTTATGGGTTCTTTTTCATAATTATATTTGCATTTTAAATACATGTTCTCCCGGAATAGAGATTTACAGCCGGGATAAAAATAAAGCAGATGCCTTTGCCAGTATCCAGAATTTGTAAACAATAATAATAATTATGATGAAAAATGTAATTTTAAAATATCAAAAATGAAAATTAATGTAATTTAAATACTGATGCAGTTCTCCGCTCCAGTGGAATTGGTTGTCTGTCCAGCAGGGCACTGGGTACAGGCCCATCTCAATGATTCCGGAAGTGATTCATCCTCACTTGAAGTATTTTTATAAAAACCAACCTCACAAGGTGTGCAAGTACCATTCTTCAAATAATGACCATTTGTGCAGTGGTCTGTAACAGATTAGAAAGAAATGTCGAGAGGCCCTTGGGCCACAACGCTCACTATAGCCACGTTACCTATCTGAAAATTATTAGATCAACGAAACCCGTATTGTAGCAATGAACCTATTAAATTCAATGATTTCAGCAGTTTTGATTTTAGAATATCGATGCTTGAAGTCGATTTTACAGTGAAATCTTATTGTTCTTGCATAAAGGACATAAAGGACAACTCTAGATAAACAAAAGAAGTGCAAGCATTTGTCATGGAGAAGTAAGCACTCCCTGTCGACACGTCACATCTGCAGTGTGCTCCCGAATTTAAATATGCAATATGCTGATATAATAGTTTCATCATGTTATAGTACTAGAAAAGTAGACTGGCTTTGTTGTTTACTTCTTTACAGCACAATTATACGGTCTTCATAATCACCTCTTGATAACCAAGTACTCAGTCCTATTAAATGTACGGTTTTTACTTAATTTTTCCTACATCTTTTTGTCAAACTTTAACCACCTATTTTAGTCTCGCCTCCCATTAGGCCCTGTGACTACTATATGAACTGAAATATTGCAGACTCGGCGTTTATCAATAATCAATCAATCCTATAATTGTAATCCCACCTCAGACCCAGTTACTACGATATGAATTTACTTGATCCTTCACTACATGGTTGGCTTAATTTGACCTAATGCTGTTCTTCAGAAGATTTTAAAAAGATTTTTTATACTCTCATGAAAGATTATGATCCAAATAATGGCTCTATCATAACTCTAAGAGGTCTCTAAATAAAAACAGCATGGGCATGTTTTCAATATCAATATGACTAACATTGTCTTGTTATAGAGAAGAAAATTCTTTTTATGTATACGAGTAGATACATTCTGCAAAATTTGATCATGATTTTGATTCTAACCCAGAATCCATAATTTGAAGAAAAAAAAAATAATCCACACAGCTTGGGTATAATTTGCATGTTAATGGTTCTATTGTGGTTTTGAAAAGATTTTAAAATTTCTTGTTCTCATAGAGTCCAAAATTTTGATCCCAAATTAGGGCTCCACTCAACACCCGGGGGCCATGATTTGAACTACACTACCTCTGAATGCTTTCACTCAATTTTCAATTCTTCTGGTCAAGAGGTTCTTTGGAAGAAGAATTTTAATATTTCAATATAAAATTTTGATTGTAACCCCACCCCATCCTAGGGTACCATGATTTGAACAATTTAGAATATACATTACCTCAATATGCTTTCACTTTCAAGTTTCATTGTATCTGGTCAAGTGGTTCTTTAGAAGACGATGTTTTAAGAATTTTTCCTATAAATTACAGTGTAAAACTTTGATTCACTACCATTGCCCCATCCTATCCCCAGGGTCATGGTCTGATTTATCTAGAATTTACACAACCTTATGACTTAAGCTTCATAGTATCTGATCAAGTGATTCTTAAGAGGAAGGTTTTTAGAGTTTCCCTATACATTTCAATGGAAAAAGTGGATTTCCTACTGTTGCCTCACCCTACCCCATGCGTCATGATTTGAGCAATTTAGCCTTTACACTACCTTAGGATGCTTCCACTTAAGTTTCATTGTTTCTGGTCCAGTGAGATTTTTTAATGACCCCACTCTATTTCGCATTTTCTTGATTATCTTCCCTTGGAAAGGGGCTCAGCCCTTCATTTGAATAATTTAGAATTCCCTTTACTCAAGAATGCTTTGTACGACAGTTGGTTAAAATTTTCCAACAGTTCTTGAGAAGAAATCGAAAATGTAAAAAGTTTACAGTCGGACGGACAAATGTCGGACAACGAGTGATCAATAAAATTCCATTTGAGCTTTCAGCTCAGGTGAGCTAAAAATACTATATAAATACTGCATGTAGTTGAGTGTAACATTGAAAATTTTCACCCCAAGAAAACCATTGTCAACCGAGGCGCAGCCGAGGTTGACAATGGTTTCGAGGGGTGGAAATTTTCAATGTTACACTCAACTACATGCAATATTTATTATATTATACTGAATGTTTTATACAAATGCATATTACACTGAACCTTGCGCGCATAAATTCTGCGCAGTCAATATTTTTTGGAATATCACCCGTCGTCAAGCAATGTCGACTGTTGCTACTCTTGAGGGTGTTGCTTCATTATTCAGCGAGTAATAGTTTTTTTTAACAAACGTCTCTCAACGAATCAGATTCAACTAATTTAGATGAAAGTATAATATTAACAAATATTACCTTTACGATCTGTGCTTGATTTTTTTTTTTTTTTTTTTTGTAGAAATACTTTCAAATGGTTACCTAAACATTCTCTGCTTCCTGTACTGTAAGTAGTTTTCCCTTCCTCACATTGAGTGCAATTCCATCTTAGTTCCGACGAAATAGTGTAATCTTCACTTGTACTACTTTTGTAAAACCCAACAGGGCACGGAAAACACATTGTACCATATAAAAACATTCCTTCAGCACAATTATCTGAAATTGCAATTGTTTTCTTTGATACTTAAACGTAACATACTCTTGAATTACACTCACGCAAAATAGGTTTGGGGTTGATATTAATATCTACTTATCTGATGAAATGTGATGCATAAAACCATACGAGACAATTTTAACCATTTTTTCATTTGTATTGTAATTTTTTTTATTTGTATTCAATAATTCTTCATTTGGATTGTATAATTTTTATTTGTATTGTATATTTTTTTATTTGTATTGTATAATTTTTTATTTGTATTGTATAATTTTCCATTTATATTGTATAATTTTCCATTTGTATTGTATAATTTTCAATTTGTATTGTATAATTTTCAATTTATATTGTATAATTTTCAATTTGTATGCTTTTCCATTTGTATTGTAAAATTATACAATACAAATGGAAATTTATAGAATACAAATACAAACTTATGGAATACAAATACAAACTTATAGAATACAAATGGAAAATTATACAATACAAATGAAAAGTTCTGATAAAGAACTTTTAAACACAGAAAACCCCATGCTTTTTCCTATTGTTGTCGCAAAGGAATTCACTTTTAAAGTAAGAATGGTTACTTCACTGAGCTGAAAACTGATTATAAATGATCTCTGCAAAGAAGATGAAACTGAGGGCGTATGTGAAAACTTTGCTTTATTACATAAATAGCTGAATATCACAAATTAAAGATATGATTTTGATATGTGGAAAGACTAGTCTTTCACGCTGTATAGTTTTCAGATGGATTCGGAAATTTAAAAGAAAAAAAAAGTACAATTAAAAGATAGCAGTTAAAGTGGTCGATCGAAATCTGTAAGGGCACCAAAAATATGGATGCTGTGACCGACATGATATCTGAAAATGCCAAATTTCTATTGATAGACTTTGCTAAAACACAAAACATTTCATCGTCATAACAGTATATAGAGTTCTGACAAATGAAATAAATCTAACAATAATTCTATCAGATGGGTGCCTTATTTCTTTACAAATGCCTAAGAGAAAACAAACGTTAAATGTGCCAATGGTCTATTTAAAAATAAACATTTTTACAAAAAAGATTTGATAAATTTAAGTGATGGATGACGAAACATTGATGTTCTTTTTATAGCCGAGGAAGATCAAGAATAATATGTGGAATCAAAGAGAAAGTTGTCGTTCTTTTATTGCGATGAGAAGCAAGGGCTCCAAATATGTTTTATTGTCTTTTTATTCATGAGGTCCAGTAAAATTTGTACATACAGCCAAAGGAAGGACTATCAATGGTAACTTTAATGTTAAAATTTCACCCAGGAAAGTTAAGCAGATATCCTGCAAAGCAAGCCCGAATACCGGTCCCGGGAGTATTTTTCTGCACCTAAAAATGCTGCTGCAAATCAGCATAGAGAAATAAATAAAAATTGAAAAAAGGAAAGTTTACAGAGTTTCAGTATCCCCATATTAGCTAGACCTCAGTCATTGTGAAATCTTTTTCTTCCAAAAACATGAAAGCAATCAAAGGAAGATTTGACAATTTCAGGTATATCATGGAAAGTGCTATTCATCAGTGTCTTTAGAGCATCCCTTAAGATGAGTATGCTGAGGTTTTCTGGGTACAAAGACTTTAGACATGTGTAAATGTTAACAGAGAATGCTTTGACGGATTGAAAGTATTTAGAATCTGCTTTACATGCTTTTCCCAGTTTTTGATGACCTTTTGCATTACTTATTGAACGATCCTAGTAGTAATTCTTTTTAAGGACATACGCAACATACCTTACCTACTGATAATTTTTCAAGATAATCTTAATTTTAGATTATAGTGCCATCAGACGTTCATAGACAAAAAATCAGCATGTATTACCAGGGGTTTTGAAAAGATAACAATTGATGAAAATTTTTGTATAATTTAAAGAAAAATACACAAAAATTACTAAACATATATTCTAGATGTTTTGTTTATCCAAACTTGTTTTAAAAGAAGTGTACAACGGCATAATATAGACATTCAAATGTAGCACACAGTTCCTTTAAGTATTGGAACTCTTCTACTCCAGGGAAAAAGACAATAAAGTTCAAACTACGTTGCGTATGTCCTTAATGGTTCTCTTAGAAAACCCTAGAGAGCACTTGATTGGATGCGGTGTTCCACGAAATCTTTAAGAAATAAGTTTTCGCAACGTGAGAAAAATTAATTACCGATTACTCTCCAACTTTCTTTCCTTATTTTTGTTTTAATTTTCAAAAAAAAAATTGTGTTGATTTAAAAAAAAAACAACAAAGAAAAACTCAAGTTGAAGAAAAAATGGTAACTAACTTGCTCGAGTTATAAATGGAAAATGTTTGATAGTACAAAAGTTATAAATTACACACAATGTTAAACTCCAAATTTAGACTTATGTGTCGAGTGCTTGTATGATATTAATAACCAAGATGAACAAGCTTATTAAAGTTAGTGATGTTTATAATCACATAAACGTCAGCTTGCAGCTTAATGTTGATATGCAAAAACTTTTTTCTCTCTGTAGGGGAGATATACATGCAATGATGCAAATTAGTCATATTGAGACAAGTCTTTGCTATATGAATTCATAAAAATTCAAACCACATGAGTTCAGCTCTAAACGATATAATTAAATTCAATATTTTGTAGGATATGGGGTATTATTTTTCAAACAAGACAAATGAATTTGCTTCAATCCACGAAAATGATTATAAAGTGCAGATTTTTAGAAATATTAATACATAAAATTGTACATGTACTTTCAGATGATTTCATTTCATTGTTTTATAAAGAGCAATTTTTGCGGTAAAATCTTGATGCTTTTGTGCTATACAGAATAATTGATACTATTTTTTTTCATTTAAACCTAAATTCACTTTGCATTTGTATATAAAAAAAAGTTTTGTATCAAGATTTGTTTTCCAAATATTTACCTATACATTTTGTTTCCTGTTCAGAGCCAATGTCAACAGTTGTTCTGTTGTTTTCACACACAGTACAGTTCCAGCGTCTATCTAAGGGGGCATTCAAATCAGTACTAGACACTGCTTTGTAGAAACCTATGTCACAGGGTTTGCATGCTCCTTCACCTGTTAACTCTCTCCCTTCTTCACAATGCTCTGGTGGTCAGAGGTGAAAACTTTGATTAGCTCTAGGTACCTTCATTTCCAGTTAATGTTTTATTAAAAAATTAATTAAAAGTAATTTACAATGAAAGATTTAGCAAAAATCTTTTGGTTATAAAATAAATACATGTACATATATATATATATATATATATATATATATATATATATATATATATATATATATATATATATATATATATATATATATACATATGCATGTATACGTATGATTCATCTATTGATTTGATAACAAAATTTTACCGATACAATTTTCCACGTCTATTGTTCCAACGTCATAGGTCGTAAGCCCATCAGGGCACTGTTTGCACTGGAACCTCTCGGTATTGTTAAGGCTTGTATCATTGGCTGATACGTTTTTATAATATCCAATCTGGCACGGTTGACACATTGTATCTCTCAGTTCCATCCCCTCAATGCAAACAGCTGAAATTAAAGTTTGCAACATATATTCAATGGATGTAAAACTCAATATGAAAATACAGATATTAATTTATCAAAGCATCTGAACTATCTATTAAATTCACATATAAAATTATGAACTGCAAATGTCAATACCATATAGAACCAAAGTAAAACATGTTTATTAAAGATAATAAACTCATCTAATTTAAATAATTTGTCAAAGCAAATTATCTCTATCATCTGAGTACTTTAAAACACATATTGATAAAGTTTTTCTTTTTTCTTTTTCTCATGATTCTAGAGAAGATAGAACAAAACAAATTACATGTTAAACTCACGAATGCATTGGTCCACAGCGAAGGTTCCTATATCAAATGTAGTGAAGTTATCTCCACAGGGGATACATTTATCTATTCTAGAGCGGTTTTCTCTGTAGGTTCCGAAGTCACATTCCATACAGATTAGATTTTGTGTCAATTCATGTCCACCCTGGCACCCTATGACAAAGAAACATTACAGAATATTATTCGATTATTTTAGATATTTCTATAAAAGGTAACCTGAAAAAATCACTCTAAATTCTAATACAAACTTTTTAAACTTCAAAGATATTGTCTCACATTAAAACTTAATACTGAGTGCAGGGTTATTTTCGCCCCATGCAATTTTCGCCTTATTACCTTAGGCGACAAGGGCGGCGAAAACAAAACAGGAGCGAAAATTTCCCTATATGTAGTTGTTACCTTTACAATCCTCGTTATAAGCGCCATCTAGGTCAATGTCGTGAAGGGTTCCTACTTCACTTGGATTTTCTATTGCAAATAAACATTCCACAATTTACATTCAGCTTTCACGATGTACTTGCCATTTATAAAAAGGAAATGATGTTTAAAGATTTTTTTTTTATAAATGAGCTTGAACTCCAATCTTAAGTTATTCACTTAAAAAGATATTTCAATCTCCTTGCACATGTGGGGGATATACGTGCAAAGGCCAATATATATGCATGTTTTCTTTGAAGACACTTGTAAACAAACCTTCGACAATGAAACCACAATATTCTTCATCTGTAAGTCCATCCTTATCATTGTCTATGCCGTCCCCGGGGATCTGGTATCGACTTATAGTAGGCTGCAAATAGGAAAAGATTAAATTGAATTACAGAAGTTCATGCAGCAAATCGAATATATTAACAGGTGTTAGATTTAATGTGGTACATGTACGTTCTTTAGCAAAATACACTTTAAAAGCAAATGTCTTTTAAGCTAGAGCTTCAATAAAGATATTATTTGTTTTCCGTGAATCCATTCCTGTTTATTTGTAATAATCAGTGGCATCAAAATATGAAATAAATAACTTAAAGGATCTTTACACAAACCAATAAGAATTCTTATTTTTCTGGTGTTTTCAAAATACGATTTTAAGTGAATAAATATCTGAGTAAAGAGACCTTATAGACCAGCCTTTGAACAATTACACAGAATTCTATAAAATTAATACGTATCTTATACTCTTCCTTTTGGAATTTCGACATTACTTACTATAGTCTGTCCCACCAAGCTACTGTCACCACTTTTTGCAACATATCTCAAAATATATAAATACCTTGGCCTTCAACCTAGGTTCGAGAGATAGATCATTTTTTTTCCAAACTTCCTGCATTTATCCGAACCCTCGAGTTCAACCGGTGTATTGACACGGCGGCAAATTCAAAGTCTACGGGGATTTAACATGGTAAACTCGTCCATTAGCGTCAAGATCACGGGGCAGGAAACCAGTTTATCGAGGGAGTAGTCGTTCTTTCCAAATTAAAATTACAAAAAATCCCAAAAATTTAACGAAAGCAATTCAGTTTGTTTTGGTAAAAAAAATATAAGTATTGTTTTGCATTCAAATATATTTGACGAGTTTTCTCATAAACTGAGAGAAAATAATCCGAATTCAATGCAGTACAAGTTGTGGATAACGCACTGCTCTAGAAGGGGGATGTTGACATGATGTGTAATTTACAGCTTCCTTCGATGAAAACGTAAGTTTTTTTTTTTTTACTTCTGAAAGTACACGCACAAAAGAAGTGTTTTCAAGTGCTAATGATTTGTCAAAATCAAGCATTATTCGGAGAAAGCGCCCAATGCATATCTGCACAGTTGGCCTAGTGGGGAAAACGAAAACTTTCAGTAGATCTATAGACTTCTAATGGTAATGACTTTTTTTGTAAGAAGCTTAAGATTTTTAATATTTTATATGATAGGTCTACTTTCTCTTTCAGTCACAGGGAACATATCTAAAACGCAACAGTTGGTCCACAGAATTCATTGTAAACAATCCTTTCACCTGATGAATAAAATGTCGAATTTCCCCTTTTAGTTACAGAAAATTTTCGATTAAATATACATTAAGTTGAGGATAAAGTAAGCATGCTGCATTTTATTATAAAATAAATGAACTTAGATTAGCTCTCAGAATGCAAATTATTACGTTAATCCTAAACTTTCCAGGGGAAGGGGCATGCCCCAAATACTCCCATTTTGAAATATTCACACTTCCAGTACTAACTTTGCAGTTACATTTCATCCCTTCATGTGAAAGGCAGTGTGATTTTTTTTTTTTTTTTTGGTTTTTCCTCAGTCCCCCCTCTTTTTCACTAACAATTTTTTGTTAAGTTGGAATTCATAATATGGTAATGCTGCAAGTTTCCCTGGTATACAACCCTTGAGATTTCTTTTTTTTTCTTTCACCAGTATTGTAAAAAAAATCTTTATTATTTTTTTGGGTGGTGGGGGGTGGTGGTGGTATTTCTTTAAAGTTCATAATTTGAAATTCATTGACTTACATCTACCCCATAGTTAACCCATTTTGTTCAAACAATAAAGAAAGAGAGCATACAGGACAATCCCCTGCTGTGAGATATATTACAATTTTCAAAGTTCAAGGAAGAGTTACATTTATTAAAAAAAAGTTGTTAGTAATGTCAATGGCAAACTTAAATTTTCACTACCTCAGGATGCTTCCATATCAATATTACTAATCATGGCTTTGCTGTTCTTTAACAGAAGAATTTTAAAGAACCCCCCCCCCCCATGTATTCCTATGTAAAACGCTCATCGCTCATTGTGGCCCAGGGTTAGAAACTCCCTAAAATTACAACTCGCAAATAATTGCGAGTACCAACAAAGTGAACTCGCAATTTTATAAGACTACTCGCAATTTTCATATAAAGTTAAATTTATATAAATTAAATACATGTAACTTAAGGAAAAAGTAACTACTGCACAATACACAAAATACAACTACAGTGTGATTTTTATTTAAATTACTGATTTAAATCAAAAGTATTGTGTTCTGTCATATCATATAATTTTGCTAGTTTCAATGCAAAAAAAAAAAATCAACTCGCAAGTTTTTGTGAGTTACCTAATTTTCAACTCGCAATTTGGGAATTCTAACTCGTGTTTTGCGAGTTGTATATAGTGACTTTCGAACCCTGGTGGCCCCACCCTACCCATCCTAAAATTGAACAAATTTGAATCTACACTACCTGAGGATGCTTCTATACTAACATGACTAATCATGGCTTTGCTGTTCTTGAACAGAAGATTTTTTTCAAGATGATTCCTATATATTCTTATGCGAAACTTTGACCCTCTGTTGTGTCCCCACCCCCCTAATTTGAACAAACTTGATTCTACACTACCTGAGGATAACTGGATTCTACATTACCCAAGGTTGCTTCTGAATTAATATGACTAATAGTGGCAAAGCTGTTCTCGAGAAGAAGATTTTTAAAGACATTTCTCATATATTCCTACATAAAACTTCACCCCCCTCTTGTGCCCCCCCCCCCCCCCGGGGTTATGATATGAATAAACTTGATTGTACATGTAATGTAATTTGTAATGAAGCTTTTACATAATTTTCATCTTTTCTTGCCTAGCTAGTGGTTCTTGAGAAGATTTTTAAAGATGCCACTAAATTTTCATGAACTCTTCATTATCTCTCCTTGAAAGAAGGCATGGCACTTCCTGTGAACAAACTTAAATCCCCTTCACCCAAGGATGCTTTGTCACATTTGCAGGTTTGTTTTAAATTGGCCCAGCGGTTCTTGAGAAGAAGTCGAAAAAGTTTATAGATGGCAGACGCCGGACACCCTTTGATCAGAAAAGCTCACTTGAGCCTTCGGCTCTTTTTTTTTTCTTTCCACATACCTTCATAATTGAAAATAAAAAATACTAATCAATAAGTTATTCAATTAAATAAAAGAAGCAAATGTGTAAAAGATGATATTGACAATACAATTTTTGTGAAATATAACATCATGAACTTAAGAATTAAGAAATGTCTTTTCTCAGAGTGGGGGATTATCTTCGCCTTGTACGCATCCATTCTTTATGTCCAAAAGAAAAATTTAGCAAAACATTCATTTGTAAAATTAAAGTTATGTACAGTATTCTAGCACACATGTACTAAATAAAAGGCCAGAAAACTGATATCATGCATATTGTATACAGTGTATGAGCACATTGTAATAAAGAAGTAAAGTATACTTGATTATGCCTTTATATTTATTTACATTTATTAATTTTTTTTTTTTGAAGGTTAAAAAAATTGTAGTACATTGTTATGATGACCAGACTCGAAGGCATTCATGTAATTGGGTGAATCACAGAATCTCAGGAATCTTCTGGACTAGTAAGTTATACATGTACATGTAAATATAAAATATTAAAATGTCTTTACTCTGTCTGAATTGCATACTTCAGGCTGGAATCTGAAAATAAAAATTGTAGTTTCCATATGTATATAATTTATACTACATGTATCTTGGTACATGTAGAATTGAAATTCATTCTTTAATTTCACTTCAATTACTTAACCATAAATTTTCATTCTCAAGAATTTTAATAACATTTAAGATGTGTTTTATTATCTATTTCAGACCAAAAGTGATGGCTGAAACAAATATTAACTGGTAGTCTACATAGTGATCTGGACACTGGATAAGGCAGAAACCATTTTCAACAGAACTGTTAAGAGTGTAAATAAAAAAAACAACAACAAGATACCCACTCTCCAACTCATTCATAGCTTCATTCTTCGCTTCATTGTGTTGAATATGAGTCAAGACTTTTCTATTGTACCAAGGCTGAAGGGACTTTCAAACCATAAACAACATCACCACAGAGCAGTTGACTTTCATTTCTTCTTCTGAATTTGTATGTTATACTCTTAATTATTACAGTGTGAATTTACTTTGCACAGAAGAAGATGTAAATTAGCATAACTTCAACAAGTATTTACTTTGTCAGTTTCAGACACATAACTCAATTATTTGGTATTTTAAAAAAAAGTAATTGGCAGCATTTACTGTGGAATCATCATTGCTTTTGGGGGAGGATAGGTGGGTCAAACATATCCACTAATTTATATTCCCACAAATACTTATTTTTTCAACTTGTCAATTTATTGAATCTTTAACTTAATGTACTTTAAAGTTAACCTTATCAATTATGTCTGCACAAACCAGTTGAATTAAATGCCTGCCCACTAACAGCTGATTAATCCCCCCCCAATAAAATGATTCCACAGTTTTTCAATTTTCAAAAGCTATAGAAGGCCATATACATGTATCTGCAGGTACTTTGGGTGGTTTAATCATCTTTGCTTGTGCTGGTCTGTCTGATGTCTTCTTCAGCTAGCTATTCTGTATCCTACAATTCAATTCTTGTTTCCAAATAAAACAGCTGTAAAATGCTTTGTATTATTTATGCTTATTTAATTTTGTCTATAGTTTTTAATTATTTTTTTTTCTTAATGTTTGGAAAAAATAATATGAGAGGGATTCGACAAGAATTTATATTTCCTGCAAATATACATTTTTTTTAAAAAGTGTGTGTTATATATCAGGGACCTATATACTTTAATAGTTAGTAGAGGTCCCTGGTTATATTTTAAAAGTTCATATTCATGCAAAATCATAATAAAAAAAATATAAAATGTATTCCATGAGTACATGTTTGAGTGTGTCCTTGATCTTTGGTATTCTGGCATTTATTAATGGAAAGACTTGATATAAAATGTTTAAAATCTCAGGGCCCGGATTTATCTAATGCCGATACAGGAAGTTTTCGAAGGGCAAGGTCAAAATCCACTGGTGACGTAGTTTGATGCAGACTACAAGTCTTGTTTTGCACAAAGATTCAAAAAGTATTAACAAAGGTGGATATATGGTGTGATAAGTGTTATATATATAAATCCAGGAAGTGCACTTGCGGGACATGTATAGAAGTGACAAGATGTTTAATCGTGTTTACATTGAACTATATATATATATATATATATATATATATATATATATATATATATATATATATATATATATATATATATATATATATATATATATATATATATATATATTGTGTTTGGGATTTACTCAGCGCAAGGTAAAGTTGTAGATTTTGTTTACATTTACACTCTATAGAACGTATTCGCTTACATGTTTTGGCAAAGCAGTCATGGCACTCTTCCTTGGTTGATATTTTGCAGCCTCGAATGTTTTTAACATTCAAACTTACGAATCCTTGAGTATATGAATTCAAATGGGTCGCAGTGTTTAGCTCTTTTAAACTTCTTCTGTCAATTGATATGCAATGTATGCTTAAAACTCCGTATTTTATCATTTAAAATACACGTGTATTAGGTGCTTGGTAAGTCTCGGGCGGTATGCTTTTCCGGACGTCCGTTAGTGCAGAGAATTTCCGAAAGTGTGTTACGTCATTACGTCAATGACGTAAAGTACGGAAATCCACGAATAATGATGGATCCCCTTCCGAAGTGACGGCCATTTTGGCAATGTTAAATCCCCGTAGACTTTGAATTTGCCGCCGTGTCAATACACCGGTTGAACTCGAGGGTTCGGATAAATGGAGGAAAATTGGAGAAAAAAAAAGATCTATCGATCGGACCTAGGCTGAAGGCCAAGGTATTTATATATTTTGAGATATGTTGCAAAAAGTGGTGACAATAGCTTGGTGGGACAGACTATACACAAATATTGCTTACTTTGGCTCTTTTTTCATTTATTTTTGAACGGTGAGGCCAGCCAGAGTTTGATAGATAATAGTAAGTTACACCAGAGACTGTTTGAGAAATACTAGTTCCATCAGTCGGAGTGAGTATATTTGACACTGGTGGTAAATATACAAAATTGTATCCGTCTTTACTAAAAGGTGGTGTTTCCACATTTCCAGAACTAGAATTTTGCTTAAATTCAGCAATCACATGGACGGGTTTACTGCTTGAAAAAGAATAAATGAAATCAGAGTTATCCAATGTTAGATCTACTATATATTGGTCTCCGGCATCTTGAAGCATGA